TGAATTTCTGCCTGAAAATGCATCATTGCCTAGGTGCTTAACTTGCTGTTTAGCTGATGTGAAATGGCAAGAATTTGCCCTTAATAAATATTATTATACATTGAACTCACTATCTCTTTTCTGATTGGCCAAAAGCATACAGTTAATTTTTGACATCAGGACCTCTGACGTAATCTAGCTGCAGATTATACAAAATCATGTCAAGGACACTCAAGGACACTCAAGGACACTCAAGGTCACGGGTAATCATGTCATGCATGACCACGGTGCATGTTTTCTAAGGATAATCAAGTCAAATTTGAGCGCTTTGTGTAGCTTGCCATCAGTGAAGAAGCAAAAACATGACTTCCATTTTTTCTTTCATTCAATGTACAATAAAACAATTAGTAGATTCAGTTTTTGTGATATCCAGAATAATCAAGGTCTTGGTAAGGGTTATCAGCTTCAGCCTTCGGCTTCTGCTGATAACCCCTACCTCGACCTTGATTATTCTGGATATCAGAAAAACCTCATCCAATAATTGTTTATTAACATGCACCACAACAACAAATATCCTCAGTTTTCTAAATTTGTCCCAAAAAATTCTGGAAAATTAGCATAGAGTTTCTTTGCCTCTACAGCCTCTACTGCCTCCATGTAGCCCTGTAAGTACTGTACTGTGACGCACTTTTCTACTCTACTCTACTCCTAATCTTCTCTACTCTGCTCTGCTCTGCGCTGCGCTGCTCTGTTCTGCTCTACTCTATGCGATCTACTAATGTACTCTACTCTACTCTAAGAGATCTAATAATGTGGTCTACTCTACTTCATACAGTACTGCAACTTCTACTCTACTGCATGTACGTGGAGCCACAGAGGTCGTACATACAGGAGCTGAAAAACTGTACTCTAATTTTCCAGAATTTTTTGTGCTGGGTATACAGTTTTGAAGTAAATGTTTTTGAATTTAACAGTAGTTTGCAGCCATGGATATGTTGTGCATGTAGTTGAAAATGTATTTTAGGTCAAAACAATTTCAACCTCGGTGAATTTGTGCCAAAGGGGAAGGGTGAGTCTGGAACCAATAACTTATAAGACCAACAAATTTGAGAAAGATTTTTAGTGATTGCTTGCCTAGCCTAGTGGAGATGAAGCTGGAATACAGAGCCAGTGATCAGGTGTTGAAATCCAGGCGAGAATAAAAAAGATCTGGAGTGGGCGAGGATTAGGATTGGAGTTAGGGTTAGGTGGGCTGATATGGTGTCCTAGCAGGGTGGGGTAGGGTTAGCAACTCCGCTAACAGTTCGACAACAATATTTACGAGCAAGCTAAGTACTACACTATCACCTGTAGGCTGAAAATATACAAATGTATTGTCCACCTTACAATATAATAAACTGCATGAGAAATTATATATATCATCTTTTAATGATATGTCCAGCAATCTATTTCTACTTCAGCTATTGTCATAGTCTGCAACAAAACTTCTCTCCCTTTGAACAAAATAAAGACTTACTTGTTTGCTCAGGTTCTTCATATTTAAGTTTCAAAGAAGTTCTTATGACACCAGAGTTGATCCAAAATCCTTCACCTTCCTGTACTTGACTTAAAGTAATATTGGTCTCAAACTGATACAGCTCACTGGAATCTTCAGGTGGTGGTGTTGTCCGTTCCACTGCAGAGAAAATAGCACCCCTTCTTGGAAATACATTAAACACAGCCTCTCCATACTTGTCTCCTTCATGCATGGGATTCTCTGGAAGTCGAAATGCTTCCACCACAAGTTGAATGTCTCCATCAGCACTCTCTGGCATTAAAACAGCATAAAGTACCAGTGAGTGGTCTTTAATTAAGCACAAAATTATTATTAATTTCAGTATTTACTACCACATGTATTTATTTAATACCCATTCTGTAACATGTTCTTCAGGTACATCAAGTGCATGTAAGTTTACCCGTAACATCAAAGGGCTCATCTTATTGCAGCCCACATAAAATTATGTTTCTGAACTTCAAAAAATGTACCTGGAGGCATCCAAAATGAGATTACTGAATCTGTGAAAGATGCAAAGGTTTCAGGATCACCATCCTCTAAACAGGCATCTGTGGTAAACTCATGATCTTCCAAAGGTAATTTTGAATTACCCACAAAAAGTTTCAACTTTGAGCGATTAACTTTGCTTCCTATGATTCGCAGTATAAGGAAATAACGTCCTGCAGTCACAAATTGGGCACTGAAGATTTCAATGGTGAAGCGTAGGGCTTTGTTGTTACCATCCATTCTGTGTTAACCCTATTCAGTCTGTAAGCTGTAAAAACAGAATCAGAAGTCTAATTAACTCAGGAATCTAACAGTAAAAATATTTATTTAATATATTTCTTCAGGGCAGTTTTAAAGTGACTCTTGTAAAACTACTCTTAGACTAGCCGATCACAAAGGACACAGACAATAAAGGGTGAACCAATCAAAACTTGAAGTAATTTCATGAAGCTGACGTAAAGCATGGTAAAACAAGTGCGAGTGAGTCACAATTAGTTTTGGTAAATACTTCTGATCGGATAAAATAAAGGGGCGTGTTTTTTA